AGTAGTAGCAGTAGCAGTAGTATCAGTAGCCACAGCAGCAGCATTAGCAGGAGCAGGAGCAGGAGCAGGAGCATGAAGAGTATTAGTAGCAGTAAAATAGTATAGTAGTAGCAGTAGTCGTCGTCGTAGTAGTAGTAGGAGTGGGAGTAGGTGTAGGAGTAGTTGCAGTCGTAGTAGCAGTAGCAGCAGTGCGAAGAGTAGCTCGGCGCGTGATGTCCACACCACGGTGCGTGAAGTCAGACCACGAGCATGGTAGCAAATTGCTTTCCCCAGTGTGCACACGCTTCGTAGCCCAATCCATGGAAACCTCTATACTTAGGGTTGCGCAGGCTTCGTTAGGAAGGTATGTACCAGTTTAGCATAGAAACGGCATGTGCACGACAGTGGCCGTCACAGAATTCGGGAATGTCCATGATTTCAGCTTTGATACCAGCGGCATCACAACACATCGAAACAAGCCGCTCCCCATTGCTTTGTACATGCTCTATTTCGCAAGCTCCAGGGCCAGATCCACGCGCATCAGTGGCAGCGCAGAAAATTGAAGCCAGTCATCCCCAATGCACGCTCGACTTCGCAAGCAGAGGCACGAGACGCGCACCAGCGGCATCACGCGAGGAGAGGCGAGCGAAAACGATAAATGAACGAAAGGATTAGAGAGACAGGAACAGAAGGCTTGCGAACGACAAGAGAATTACAACTCGCAAGCGGGGCGTGCGGCGATCAGGCTGACCAGGACCCCCTCGGTTGACTTACCTTACGAAAGCAGGTGACTAGCAAACCCACCCCCAGTTAGCAGATTACGACCGAGCCTGGGCCATCCGACGCCCTGACTCCGTCCGAAATGCTTAGCCCCGTAGACGCTCGAACAGTTGATGTGTGGAATGTGTGCATGCTAGGTCCGGCTGAATAGTGCTGAACCCCATGTGCACGCGCAAAGATACAACATCAAGTGATTTGAGGTATGTGCATGCTTATTGCCACGACTTGCTCGGAATGGCTTCCCCCCTATTGTTGCGCCAAGGTACGACTTTACACAGGGCGGTACGACTTAAACCAACCCCCCTCCCAGTAGTAGTAGTTGTAGTAGTAGT